TCTCACCACTCTACATCAACTTCACTGATGCGTGAACAGGACAACACTATGGAAGCTTCTTTGACACAGTAACATGCCTTCAAAGATAGTCAACATCATACGAAATTCAGATGACGGATTAAACTGCAAATTTGCGCATAGAGGAAAGCTCACAGGCTCGTTCTAAGTGAAGACCGGTGTCAGGCAAAATTGCTTACTCTCATTCTTTCTCTTTCTTCTCAACATCCACTGGATCGTGAAGATGTCAGCGTCTGGATGGAAAGCTAGGAAGTGGCGTCTGCGATCAACACTTTGAAGTTGATGCCACTCTCCTATTCCACACGCAACAACAAATGCAGGAGAAGGCGACCAGTGTTTCAGTAGCCTAAGCAGCAGTAGGGAAAAGAATATAACAGGCACCAACCAAATCACACTTGACGGAGAAGCTTCAGAGGACGTAAAAACCTTTACATTTCTGGGCAGCATCATTGATGAATAAGACGGATCTGATGCATATGCAAAGGCGCGGATCAAGAAAACAAAGGCAACATTTCTACAACTGAAGAGTATTTGGAACTCAAAACAACTATCGAAAAACACCAAAGTCACAATTTTCAATACAAATATCAAGACAGGTCAACTACATGGAGCGGGAACTTTGAGAACCACAAATGGCATCATCCACAAGATATGATTGTTTATTAACAGTTGTCTATGCAAAATACTCCTCATCCGTCTGCCTGACACTTTCAGAAACAACCTACTTTGCGAGAAAACAAACCAGCGGAGGAAGAAATTAAGAAGCACTGGAAGGGGATAGGACATACTTTGTGGAAGTCATGAAACTGCATCACGAGGCAACAAACTATAACTTGGAATCTTCATGGTCAAAGGAAAAGTGATAGATCAATGAACACATTACGCCGAGAAATGGAAAAAAGACATGAAACGAATGAAATGTAATTGTATAGAACTAGAAACGAACACGGGTGATAGAGTAAGTTGTAGAATGCTGGTCAGCGGCATATGCTCCTTTGTGAACAACAGACGCAAGTAATATAGTGGGTAACTTGAGGATCTGTTATGCTCGTCACTAGGTATGCTTGAAACTATTACGGGTTCACCTTAGTCGATAAACGAGAACGCGACAATGAACCAGCGTCCAGGTAGGCTACTATGGTCCGTTGACCGAAAAGAACTAACGAAAAGTCTTGACATAGCATAGAATGTATATTCTACAAACAGCCAGCAAGCACAATGAATTCAAGCATACAAATCACATTTATTTATATATCATAGAAACGTCCTTGGGACAGTCACAAAAACAGTACACTAAAATAACACAGTAACCAATCACCGACAAGGATTCCCCGGTTGGAAGTGCGGTCTGAAGGTCAACTGATCATCCCATGCTCGGAAACATGGAATCCAAAAATGAAGCATTTATCAAGCGAGTTCTGGGGATCTAACCTCCCGAACAGGATCCAGTATGGATTTTATAGGTATATTGACATTAGGTTAAAAGCGTTACTAACTCAGGTGGATATTAGTTAGTAGTGAAATGTAGGGCTTACTTTTCATCCTATTCGCAAGTTGTCTTCATGTGGATGTACTTACATCTCAGCGTTGGTGCTCATACCAGAACTCGAGTTCAATAACGTTCGCTTCGAACGTCATGTTGCATCCTCAGTTCCATCTATCTCTGCTAACAGTCGCACCTTTCTGTCGTTTAACTTATAATTTTCATTAATAATAAATATCATTGCTTTTATGCAATAAATATTCACTTTTTTACTCAGAGAACTTATTTATTAGAAGAAAGATTTGTTCAAATCAATGTTCAATGTCTAGCCTATCTTTCCTAATTTAAGCCGACAAAAAAAATTAATTTACACTAGATATGAATGTTTCTCGATTTTTTTCTGAACATTGTCATCATTTTTTTCATTATAAAATCTCAGTTATGTCATCATGCGAAATAATGATTATCTAACTGAGTTGCATTGAAATCATAAACTGATTCATGTTAGACCGCCGTTACAGATACCTGGAAGCACTGGACGGAGGTTTTGTTCTAGTATTGGACTCA